CCTGCGGGGCCCCCCCCGCGGCGCTCCCCGCTCTCTGCGCGCCCTGCGGGGGCAGCCACGCCGCCCGGGGCCTCTCGGCTTCATCCCCTGCACCGGCTGGTCCGGGGGAGCGCGGCGGGGCCTGGCGGCAGCGGGGGTCGGTTGTTCGCCTTCGGAGCCGCCCCGGAGCCTTGAACCCAGCGCCTCTCGGCAGGCCGTCGGCCGGAGGCCGGGCCTCGCGCGCCCCGGCGTTTTGGAAGAGCGCTGGTGTTTTACGGCCCGCGGGCAGATCGTTGTACTTGCTGAAGTGCTTTCCCGTGGCGCAGGCCGGTGCTTCGGCGCCAGACTGTCCAGCTTTACTTCAGGGCAGAAGGGGAGGGGGGGAAGCGGGACGCGCGGCACTTGTCTGCGGTAGAAAACGGGACACGCTCCGGCACCCGGCAGCCCCTCGCGAGGACACCATGCCCTGCAGGGTGGGAGAGGAGGTAGGAGGAGGCTTTGCTCTGGAGTTACCGCCTCATTTGGTTTCCCCAGGGGAAGGAAATGTACGCGTGGTTTTGCAACCTAGCGCGTGCTCTCCTTAATTTCTCCACATAACTCATACCTGGAGGGAAGAAGGTAGATGACTACGCGTGTTCTCATGAAATGTGGTAGGAAACCTGAGACCTCAGGTGTGTAAATGAGTTCTTCCCAAACTGATGTTAGAGAAGCTCTCCCTGCACGGTAGCTGACATAGGAAAGGGTTAAGTTAGGCCTCTGCAGTTCCGAACTTAAGCTGGTGCCTGGGGGCGTGCCTGGAGACCCCCTTCGGGGCCCTGGAACACAACTGCTGGTGCAGGAGAGCTGTTGCATTGGGGTGCACCAGCCAGCCCTCTCCCTAGGCAATTCCTGGCATGGCTCTGCACTTAGAGCAGTCCCCACAATGTTACTGCCTACCGGTATAAACCAGGCCATTCCACTTCAATAGACCCACTGCGGCACAGGCCTCCAGCACCATCCCAGCTGGCTGCTTTCTTGTGCGGTGTGGGGGCGTTCGTTCCCTCAGCCTTGCATGGTCAGAAGTCGGATTCCAGGGGGCTGCTCTTCAGGCCTGACAGGGAACAGCCATCTGTGAGACCACAGCTTTTCTTGCCGTGGTGACCTGGATGTTTGCCATTTTCTTGCCATGGTGACATCTGGGTTTCCCTGCCACCTTACCAGGGGACTGGGAGTGGATTTGAACACAGAGGAAGCCACCCTGTGGCCACAGGCACAGGCAGGAGACAGCAGATGCGCTTCACTCCACGAGGCCATAAAAAAGCAGCAGCTTTTCACCTTGGCCCCTGTGTCCCAACTGGTAAAAGCACTGCCTTTTTGGGTGGTGTTTTTTTCAAGCCACCGCTTGCTCTGAGGTGATCATATAGAGGATTACCGAGCCTTTCTGGGAGTTAAACACCCAAATATGTAGTATGTGCTTAGCAGTGGTACAAAACAGGCTGGCCATGAGATGAGGACCGAGATGAGGGCACAGAAAGGAGTGTTTTCCCAGGAATCTGGAAATCTTTCCTACTAACAAAGTGAAAAAATACTCTCAAAGCCTCCTTGATTCCCTTTCTACTTCAAGCTATTGTTAGCAGGGCCCAAGTGATTTGAATTAGTCAGAAACCTTAGTGACTGTGTGCCCTAAACTGTATGGGAATTGCAGTAAGAGAGAAATGAACGGCGTTCAGTGTTGTCATGCTGAGGCTTTGTTTGTTAAGGTTTAAGCATCAATTTGCATTAAAGACTTTTTCTGTTGGAGAAGTGATGACTGATGCGGGCTCATTAGACTCACAGTCTGTAATTTCACTGGCTGTGGACAGATGGAGAAATGGTCGTCAACAAAATAAGATGGGAATACTGAAATAGAATGAAAGGGAAAACATAGCCCCAGCAATTTACAAAACAGTACAACTGACAGGCACGTTGCTGTATCCTTGTAGCATATAGCACATTTGCCAAGAAGTGTGGAGGGTTGAAGATCAATATGTTCACAATCAAAGTACAAACGTATGCAAAAGAATGAAAGAGGAAAGTAATCCTGGATGCTGGATCTCCATCCCTGCAGGTTTTTGAAACGTGGCTAGACAAAGCCGTGGCTGACCTGATCTGGTGCTGGTGATAGTTCTGCTTTGAGCAGGAGGTCGGACTGCAGAGGTGTCTTGCAATCAACATTGCTGTGATTCTGTGACCAAGATGTGGGCAATTATGGGTTCCCCTACATGTAGCATCCTGCAGACAATTCAATAATTAAAAGTTGGCAATTTGGGAGAAATCTTCAGAGAAGGGTTTGCCTGTCTTAAAAATGCATAAAGCAATAAAATGCACAAAATGGGTAATGTGACCATATTTCAAGGAAAAGGGAAAGAACCAAAGTGTCTCCAGGTTTCTATAAATGGTAAGCCAGCATTTACTAGGTAACTATTGAAATACAACTGCCTGAATCTAGACAGATGCTATCAAAAAAGTTCTTCCATTTCAAAATAGCTGTATTATTTCAGAAACACCACCATGTCAAGCCTTGGCTCCATTTTTTACTACTTTGGAGCAATTTCAGTGTTTGATGACTTGAACTTCAGCTGGCTAGTGATTTGGAGATTCCCTTTTTTTGTTTTGACAAAAGCCATGTATCAGTTTTAAAAGGTTCTATGCTTTTAGTGTTAAGAGTATTTTTTCTTTAAAAAGCCCACAATGCTTAAATCGTTGAAATGACCAAACCCCCCATGTCTAATGAAGAGCTTGTTGGAGAAAAGTGATGAAAAAGCCCTGGTGAGAATGACAGATAACAAGTACTACATGTGTGAATAACTGCTTTTCCATTTTGCAGTAAGCTCTAGCTAACCTTCACCTTTTCCGTTCTCTTGGTATTGCAGTGCTGAAAAGAATGGCATACCTGCCTAACAGCCTTTACAGTAATTCATTTATACTCAGCAAAACTGCCTCCTGAAGAGAAGGAAGGTTACTGAAGACATTTGAAAGATTGTGACCGCCTACTGAAGATTGTTTCTTAAACTTATGTATTGATCAACCGTTTTCACCTGCACTGAAAGAGCTTTTGGTGCAGAGGGATACATTAATCACTCATGTAGAGCACTGACACTCTGCCCAGCTGCTAAAAGAGAGCTGTTTGCTGGCTTACTCTTCAATGCCATTTGACAGGAAACACTGTTCCAAGTGTTTCAGCTCCATCAACATGTGCAGTTTCCCATAGCCTAGAGAAGATTGCTTGTTAACACTGCAAAAAGTTAAGTGCAGTGCTTTCCAAAAAGATAGTGACATCCCTTGGTTTGGATTTGAAGTATTAAAGTTTGTTGTTTTTGTTTTTTTTTTTTTTCTTTTTCTTTTCCTCCAAATAGTTTCTGGTATGGGAATCACGGAATGGCTGAGGTTGGAAGGCATCCCTGGAGATCATGTAGTCCAACCCCCTGCTCAAACAGGGTCAGCCAGAGCAGGCTGCCCAGGACCATGTCCAGTTGGGTTCTGAGTATCTCCATGTCTCCATTACATTTCAGGGAAAAAAATGACAGGAAGCAAACTAACACCAGATTGTTTGAAAAATTGGAAAGCAAGCAGTTGCTACATCAATGCTAAAATGCAACTGCGCTGATCTAGGCATGTGCTCATTGACAAAAGCGAACAAGCAAACTGCCAAACAGCACCATCACCGTGTCATGTTCCATTTTTTAGTAGTTCAGGGCACCTTCATTGCGTTTCAAGGATACACATTCTTCAGACTATGTTACGTGCCAGTACTGTGGGAGGATTCCAGCTTAAGCTATTCATATTGCATTGAATCCAATCTGCTAGCAGCCTTAAAAATGGATGCAGAAAGAAGAGCTTTCTGCCAGGAGACTCAAGGACACCTATGACTGACTGGGACTAAAATGGCCATCAAAGCTATTACATGCACATGACCAGGGCAGCCCAGGAGTAGCAACCCTTTGTTGCCACAAAATTCTTGCTAGGTTTGATTCAATCTTACCTAGGCTGGATAAATTACAGATTTTCCAAATAGAAATAATAAAAAAAAAATGCACACACATCCACAGATCTGCTGTTTTTAATGTGTTATTTTGTTTACAAATGATGATACACACTCCATTTTTGAAGAAATCAGCCTCAATGTGTTTGGCCAATTACATATGAGACGCAAAATCAAAGTTAATTTGTGCACCTGATTCACCCCTAACTTTGGCAAGTAAAATGTAGCTGAGGAGATTTACTCTATTTGATGTTTAACCTCCCCTGTAAAACACAGTAATGATTGGGGGTCTGCCTAGGTATGCTCTTGTAGACCAGCAGTCTGTAGCTGACACGCGTGAAGGTTAATGTAAGGAACCTGTGATGGACCTTTCCCTCACCCAAAAGGGACAATAGCTGTCATTGTGTGATTTTTAAGACTCCCTAAGTAAAAGAGAAGGAGAGGAAAACCCTTGTAGAGAAAAAGGAGTGCAACAGCTGGGGAGGAAAATCAACCAGTGAGTAAGCAGAGGCATTCCTAGTGTTGAGTAACTGGAAAAAAATTAAAGAGAAGACTAGAACAAAGAACAAGTGAACACACCTGTGTGAATCTCTGCGTGAATCCATCAGAGACAACCCTCAAGCTCCTGAGGCTCCCGAGACAGCTGGCCAATGGCCTGGTGCAAGCTGGTTAACGGAGGCTATGTTTTACGTACTTACGTACATACCCAATGAAACTTCTCACTTAAAGGAGTGACTGCCTTTATCTCAGTTGCCGATTGCTTAATTACCCGTTACCTAGATTAATGACTTCGGCTACGCTCTTGCAAAATCAAGTAAGGGCTAAAAGCTGGAGAA